AAATTAGTTTACATCCCTTTAAGTGACCATTACTTATTTGCCAAGATAATCCATCCACCTGACAGGTGTGGCATATCAAGAAGCTGACAATAAAAGGCCACTCTAAAATGTGCAGTTTTGTCACATAAAACAATGCCACAGATGTCTGACTACAGGAATGTCCACCAGAGCTGTTGCCAGATAATTTAATGTTAAATTCTCTAACATAAGCCACCTCCAACGTCGTTTTATAGAATTTGACAGTACATCCATCCGGCCTCACAACCGCAGACCACGTGTATTGCATCGTGTGGGCGAGCGGTGTGCTGATGTCAACGTTGTGAACAGAGTGCCACATGGTGGCGGTGGGGTTATGGTATGGGCAGGCATAAGCTGCAGACAACGACCACAATTTAATTTTATCGATGGCAATTTAAATGCACAGAGATACCGTGATGAGATCCTGAGGCCCATTGTTGTGCCATTCATCTGCACCTCATGTTTCAGCATGATAATGCACGGCCCCATGTCGCAAGGATCCGTACACAATTCCTGGAAGCTGAAAATGTCCCAGTTTTTCCATGGCCTGTTTACTCACCAGATATGTCAGCCATTGAGCATGTTTGGGATGCTCTGGACCGACGTGTACGACAGCGTGTTCCAGTTCCCGCCAATATCCAGCAACTTCACACAGCCATTGAAGAGGAGTGGGACAACATTCCACAGGCCACATGCAACAGCCTGATCAACTCTATGCGAAGGAGATGAGTCGCGTTGCATGAGGTAAATGGTGGTCACAACAGATAAATCAAATCAAATCAAAATGTATTTGTCACATGCGCCGAATACAACAGGTGTAGACCTTACAGTGAATTGCTTACTTACAAGCCCTTAACCAACAGTGCAGTTTTAAGAAAGAATACCTAAAAAAAATAAGATATAAAAGTAACAAATAATTAAAGAGCAGCAGTAAAATAACAATAGCGAGGCTATATACAGGGGGTACCGGTACCGAGTCAATGTGCAGGAAAACGGGTTAGTCGACGTAATATGTACATGTACAGTTGACGTTGGAAGTTTACATACACCTTAGCCAAATACATTTAAACTCCGTTTTTCACAAATCCTGACATTTAATCCTATTGAAAATTCCCTGTCTTAGGTCAGTTAGGATCACCACTTTATTTTAAGAATGTGAAATGTCAGAATAATAGTAGAGACAATTATTTATTTAAGCTTTTATTTCATTCATCACATTCCCAGTGGGTCAGAAGTTTAAATACACTCAATTAGTATTTGGTAGCATTGCCTTTAAATTGTTTAACTAGGGTCAAACATTTCAGGAAGCCTTCCACAAGCTTCCTACAATAAGTTGGGTGAATTTTGGCCCATTCCTCCTGACAGAGCTGGTGTAACTGAGTCAGGTTTGTAGGCCTCCTTGCTCGCACACGCTTTTTCAGTTCTGCCCACAAATATTTTATAGGATTGAGGTCAGGGCTTTGTGATGGCCACTCCAATACCTTGACTTTGTTGTCCTTAAGCCATTTTGCCACAACTTTGGAAGTATGCTTGTGGTCATTGTCCATTTGGAAGACCCATTTGCAACCAAGCTTTAACTTCCTGACTGATGTCTTGAGATGTTGCTTCAATATATCCACATAATTTTCCTTCCTCATGATGCCATCTATTTTGTGAAGTGCACCAGTCCCTCCTGCAGCAAAGCACCCCCACAGCATGATGCTGCTACCCCCGTGCTTCACGGTTGGGATGGTGTTCTTCGGCAAGCTGCCCCAGTTTTCCTCCAAACATAACGATGGTCATTATGGCCACACAGTTCTATTTTTGTTTAATCAGACCAGAGGACATTTCTCCAAAAAGTACGATCTTTGTACCCATGTGCAGTTGCAAACCGTAGTCTGTTTTTTTTATGGTGGTTTTGGAGCAGTGGCTTCATCCTTGCTGAGCGGCCTTTCAGGTTATGTCGATATAGGACTCGTTTTACTGTGGATATAGGTACTTTGTACCTGTTTCCTCCAGCATCTTCACAAGGTCCTTTGCTGTTGTTCTGGGATTGATTTGCACATTTAGCACCAAAGTACGTTCATCTCTAGGAGACAGAATGCGTCTCCTTCCTGAGCGGTATGACGGCTGCATGGTCCCATGGTGTTTATACTTGCGTACTATTGTTTGTACAGATGAACGTGGTACCATCAGGCGTTTGGAAATTGCTCCTAAGGATGAACCAGACTTGTGGAGGTCTACAAAAAAAATTCTGAGGTCTTGGCTGATTTCTTTTGATTTTCCCATGATGTCAAGGAAAGATGCAAATAGCCTGGGTAGCCATTTGATTAGATGTTCAGGAGTCTTATGGCATGGCGGTAGAAGCTGTTTAGAAGCATCTTGGACCTAGACTTGGCACTCTGGTACTGCTTGCCGTGCGGTAGCAGAAAGAACAGTCTATGACCAGGGTGGCTGGAGTCTTTGACAGTTTTTAGGGCCTTCCTCTGACACCGCCTGGTATAGAGGTCCTGGATGGCAGGAAGCTTGGCCCCAGTGATGTCCTGGGCAGTACGCACTACCAGCAGTTGCCATACCAGGCAGTGATGCAAGCAGTCAGGATGCTCTCGATGGTGCAGCTGTAGAACCTTTTGAGGACCTGAGGACCCATGCCAAATATTTTCAGTCTCCTTAGGGGGAATAGGTTTTGTCGTGCCCTCTTCACGACTGTCTTGGTGTGCATGGACCATGTTAGTTTGTTGGTGATGAGACACCAAGGAACTTCAAGCTTTCAACCTGCTCCACTACAGCCCCGTCGATGAGAATGGGGGCGTGCTCAGTCCTCCTTTTCCTGTAGTCCACAATCATCTCCTTTGTCTTGAACACGTTGACAGAGAGGTTGTTGTCCTGTAGTTCACACGGCCAGGTCTCTGATCTCCTCCCTATAGGCTGTCTTGTCGTTGTCGGTGATCAGGCCTACCACTGTTGTGTCATCGGCAAACTTAATGATGGTGTTGGAGTCGTGCCTGGCCATGCAGTCATGAGTGAACAGGGAGTACAGGAGGGGACTAGGCACGCACCCCTGATGGGCCCCCGTGTTGAGGATCAGCGTGGCGGATGTGTTGTTACCTACCCTTACCACCTGAAGGCGGCCCGTCAGGAAGTCCAGGATCCAGTTGCAGAGGGAAGTGTTTAGTCCCAGGGTCCTTAGCTTAGTGATGAGCTTTGGGGCACTATGGTGTTGAACGCTGAGCTGTAGTCAATTAATAGCATTCTCACATAGGTGTTCCTTTTGTCCAGGTGGGAAAGGGCAGTGTGGAGTGCAATAGAGATTGCATCATCTGTGGATCTGTTGGGGCGGTATGTAAATTGGAGTGGGTCTAGGGTTTCTGGGATAATGGTGTTGATGTGAGCCATGACCAGCCTTTCAAAGAACTTCATTGTTACAGACGTGAGTGCTATGGGTTGGTAGTCATTTAGGCAGGTTACCTTAGAGTTCTTGGGCACAGGGACTATGGTGGTCTGCTTGAAACATGTTTGTATTACAGACTCAGGTTGAAAATGTAATTGAAGACACTTGCCAGATGGTCAGCGCATGCTCGGAGTACACGTCCTGGTAATCCATCTGGCCCTGCGACCTTGTGAATGTTGACCTGTTTAAAGGTCTTACTCACATCGGCTACGGAGAGCGTGATCACACAGTCGTCCAGAACAGCTGATGCTCTCATGCACGTTTCAGTTTTACTTGCCTCGAAGCGAGCATAGAAGTAATATAGCTCGTCTGGTAGGCTCGTGTCACTGGGCAGCTCGCGGCTGTGCTTCCCTTTGTAGTCTGTAATAGTTTGCATGCCCTGCCACATCCGACGAGCATCGGAGCCGGTGTAGTACGATTCGATCTTAGTCCTGTATTGACGCTTTGCCTGTTTGATGGTTCATTGGAGGGCATAGCAGGATTTATTTTAAGCTTCTGGGTTAGAGTCCCGCTCCTTGAAAGCGGCAGCTCTACCCTTTAGCTCAGTGCGGATGTTGCCTGTAATCCATGGCTTCTGGTTGGGGTATGTACGTACAGTCACTGTGGGGACGACGTCATCGATGCACTTATTGATGAAGCCAGTGACTGATGTGGTGTACTCCTCAATGCCCTCTGAAGAATACTGACTGGCTTTCTGACCCACGCCTCTACTTTTTTTTAAACGGTATCTGTGACCGACAGATGCATATCTGTATTCCCAGTCATGTGAAATCCATAGATTAGGGCCTAATGAATTAATTTCAATTGACTGATTTCCTTATATGAACTGTAACTTAGTAAAATCGTAGAAATTGTTGCATGTTGCGTTTATACTTTTGTTCAGTATAAGTAAAAGCTTAAATTAAACCTGGCCAGAGGCAGGTTTAACTTTAGATTAATGGATGTTGGCCCCCAGGTTGATCTTGGCAATGGAGGAAAATGGATTACATGAACTATTTCAAGGATGATCAAAGAGCACCACCAAGGCCAGACAGAAGGGTGGTTATAGACAGGAGCAACTCACTAAATGATTTTGATGAAATCCATTTCTGTGACCATTTCCATATGTACAAAGAAAATGCAGCTGACATTTGTTTGCTTGATCCAAGGCTTTCATCTGACTCTCTTCGGGGAAGGCCCATCCCTCCTTCCCTACAAGTACTGATCACCAATTACATCAAGTTCCCTGATGCTGCTGCCCGAGCCAACTACAAGGTATAGTTCTATGAATATGGGAACTTCCCTGGAGTCATTGGCTGTATAGATGGATGTCATATTCCCATCAAGTGTCCCTCTACAGCAGATGCTGAAGAGTACAGGAATCTTAAAAACTGGTTCTCAATAAATGAACAAAGTGTGTGCAGTTCTCCAACATTGTTGTACATTGAAAAGGTGCAGCTAATGACTCAAGGATCATCTTTGTATGCTCAGCTTGAAGGAGGACAACAGAGTTGAATCATACATATATGCACAGACCAACTTCTTGTTCATCCCCTATCTTCTCACAAAAGGACCTGAGCAACAACGGTACAATCAAGCTCATATCCACACCAGAGATGTAGTGGAGCACGTGTTTAGTGTATGGAAGAGTGGTTTCCAGTGTTTCAGAAACACATTGCGCTTTCAACAAAGAAGATGCTGCATTGTCATAATTGCAACAGCAGTGCTTCACAATTACCTCAAACATGGCTGCCCAGATCAATTACCTCAAACATGGCTGCCCAGATCCTCGTATTGAAGATGACCCAGATGTTCCCATGGTTGAGGCAGACAATGACAGAAATGGACAAAACTACAGAGATGATTTTGCTATGCAACACTTCTCACAACAAAGATAGCTCATGATTGAAGCAAACAATACCCATGGATTGGTAACAAAAAGGTTTTTAATTCACAAATGGAAATGTCTGGACCCCAAACTGGTGGAGAATAACATTTGTACTGCTGCTGCTTCATGTTTTCTTTCCTCATCCTTCATAGCCAACTCAACATGAAGGATTTGCATCTTCAGATCATGCTCTTTTAAATACATTAGTTTGCGCTTATGAAATTCCATGGGCAGTTTCTCATGCATGCTCAGCCTCTGTCTTTGTCCTCCGGCCCGGATTAGTGACACAATCTTCCCTCCCAGCTGCTGCAGATGTAGCGGGCTGACCTTCATCCTGTTAAGACAAGTCCCCTCCAAGCTATGGTGATCATCTGCCTCTAGAAAATGATTACATTGCTGCATTAGATAACATTTCAAGATGGGAGTGCAAGAGATGACTGACAACCTTACATATTCCCTGCAGTCCAGGGATGGCACATGTTGAATGAATGTGTCCTACCAAATGAGGATTGGAACGGTCCCACATCTTAACTGTCTAAATGGTCATCATCGGGGATACCTTCTAGGGGTGGCTGGCTATCAATGATCGCGGTCAACAAGTCCCCCAGCTCATCTGTCTCTGGTCTTACCAGTCTTGAAACGCTCCCTACAAGCAACAACATTAGTCTTCTTTGTGGTCCTCTGTAGCTCAATTGGTAGAGCATGGCGCTTGTAACGCCAGGGTAGTGGGTTCGATCCCCGGGACCACCCATACATAAAAAAATTTATGCACACATGACTGTAAGTCGCTTTGGATAAAACAGTCTGTGAAATGGCATATTTCTTTTTTTTATGTTGATTTTTTCAAATGTTTTTCCACAGGACCTTAGAAAGACAATATAGAAATGATATTAGCAATTATGTATGGTATTGACATTTCTGTCACACAAATACATTTAGGCCCCACTGTGATGTTTAACACACAAAAAACGAACATTTCAAAGTTACTCTGATTTTCAAAGGTAAACAAAAAATAAATATAGTATCACACCTGAAGTTGTTGTAGTGTCCTTTTGTTTTCTTTTTTCATTTGAGTTGAATTCATTACAAATGGTAGTCCAGGCGTTCTTCTTCTTGTTTTCTGTTGATGAATCATGCTGTTTGTTCTCCATAATTGGGTGGTTTGACAATTCGCTTCAAGCGGGTTTTTTCAAAGTCACTGAAATTCTTTGAAAGTTTTCTTTTACCTCCTTCCATTGTTTTGTTTAGGTGACTTGCTCCAATTCCACACAATGCTTATTATTTATTAGTGCCCCATCCCTGGTTTTTGAAGCGTCCTCAGGTCAGCACCAAGTGCACATTGTTAATCTAATCAAGCTTCACAAAGATTAACTGGTTAGTCCTTAATTACCATAGTCTGGGACTCCCTAGTCTAGAACTAATTAATCTGAAATTAAGCAAAGTCTCACAAAGCCGTTTTAAAAATCTGGATTGATTTAAGTAGAATTATCCTAGTCCTGATTTAAATTAAACTCTGTCCGCGAAACCGTACCATTTGCACAGCGAATGCAAACAAACCATTATTCTGGAAAATAGCCTCAGAAAGAACATCATTATGCCCATAGACCAACACAAGTTGTCAACACTTGAAAAACCATTTCTAAACTGATTTTGTCATCAATGTAAACACTCTGCTGAGATGTCACAAATTGCAGGTGGTAAAGATTTTAAGAAACCACTGAAGACCAGTCTTAAAAAATTGGGCCTCCACTCTCCACTAGTACGCTCTCCAGACTCCTGCCATTTTAGAGAGCATTCTCCATTGAAAGTGTCTGATGTTGTTGTTCCAAATTAAACACATTTCCTGCTAATACTATATTCCATATTATCTTACAAGAATCACTAGTGTAACACCATTTAATTGACTTACTGTTTATTAAAACATTGTAGACATTTCTGTTTCATTTTGATAGCCCTACCCCACTGGGCACAAACTGGTTGAATCAACGTTTTTTCCACGTCATTTCAACCAACAAAAATCAATGTGATGAAAAATGATTGGATTTGAAAAAGTCTTTTTTTTTTTACAAAACTTTTAACCATTGTGACATTTTTTGTTGAGTTCATGTTGAATTCACGTTAGTTGACAACTCAACCAAATGTTAATCAAAACTGACATCATGCCCAGTGGGACGATGCCTACGATGTAGCCCACCTGTTGTTGTATCGATGCATTTCATTTGCCATTTCTCCTCCTCTGAGTGGGCACAATCTTTATAATGCACATGGCCATTTGCAAGACTCAGGATGTAGAAGAACATTTCATTTCCAGAAAATGTGTTTGTTTGCTGTTAAGTCCTTGGAGTGTCTTGTCAAATGTTCCTAGCCTACATAGTGCCGGATTACCGTACGGGCACGCAGGTCATAATATACACAGGGCCCCCTGGAGGTAAGACAGCAAAATGGGTAAAATTGCAGGAAATTAGCTTTAAACTTGTGTTGAAATGCAGGAAGATAGCTGTTTTCCTAAATGCGGTAGTCCGGCCCTGAGCCTACCCGCCAAAATTAAGGGTGCACATTCCTGCGCATTCCAATAGTTGTACGTGGCCTTCCAGCGAGGATGCTAATATTATGAATTAGTCTACTGTGAATTGTGAATGAAATTAAGTTCCTTTTATGAATGTGTTATGATTATGATTATGTCTCCTTTAGACTATTATTATACAATGTAATTAAGGATTTTGGGACATGCCTTTTACATTGAATACCATGTAATTTTGTTAATTGTCAATTTTAACAGTGGTATGTCCCAGGGAAGGGCTAGTGGAATGTAAACGCCTGTTTGGGGTTATCTTTGGCAGATTGATCTTGGTAATTGTGGCTGACATGAGCCTGGTATAGCCCAACCTGAGTCTTATGGTATAGACAGGTTTGCCTGCTCTTGGCATTTTCTTTTCCATTATTATGTCAAATTGAGAAGTTTATAAATATCTGTTTTTTTTAAATCATTTTTTTTATATTGCCAATTGCATCTATGGACCATCATTTTCAATAAATAAAAGCATATCTTCTGTACCTGATCCTGCCTGCCTCCTGCAACATTTCTGCCCTTATAGACTGCTACAAGTTCCCTATTTTATAGGCCACTATGGGAACACCAATACTCTGGTTTTCAAGGAATAGAGTTACTGTACTATCATGAGTTTGGATAACTTATTAAGTACTGATTCCATTATCAATACATACAGTAATATTTACATTCCATAGCAAATCCATAGTGATACATGTTTTCATTTGATACCCTGTTATCATTTAAAAGATTGTGGAACAGGTGTTCTATTTAAGCATTTCTCTCTCCCTTCTTTGGAGGAAACTAGGCTGGGTCAGTGCCAATGAGAACTTGATCTCTTTGGATTCTGACCAACATACACTGCACCAATCAGATATGATTGTATTAGTAATTTGAGTGGAGTTGTCATTCCAAAACAAAAACTGTTGATTGTGTTTGAATAGTCAGTGATTGATATGTGACCACTGCCAAGTTGTGCATTATATGCTGCCGTCTACTGATGTGGGCGTATACCATTTTTTTAAAACCTGTGATACAGACGGCTATATTGGTCCGCTAATACAGGACTAGTAAAGGCCCAGTGCACTACTTTTGTGTGTCTTTTACCAAATAGGGCTATCTTCTGTATACACCCCTACCTGTCACAACACAACTGATTGGCTCAAATGCATTAAGAAGGAAAGAAATTCCACAAATTAACTTTTAAGAAGGCACACCTGTTAATTGAAATGCATTCCAGGTGACTACCTCATGAAGCTGGTTGAGAGAATGCCAAGAGTGTGCAAAGCTGTCATCAAGGCAAAGGGTGGCTATTTTGATTTGTTTAACACTTTTTTGGTTACTATATGTTTCTATTTGTGTTATTTCATAGTTTTGGTGTCTTCACTATTATTCTACAATGTAGAAAATAGTTTTTAAAAAATAAAGAAAAACCCTTGAATGAGTAGGTGTGTCCAACATTTTGACTGGTACTGTATATAAAATATATATATTTTGTAACACAAAAGTAGTGCACTGGGCCTTTACTAGTCCTGTAAATTGTTTTTAAAAAACCTTGAATGAGTAGGTGTGTCCAAACTTTTGACTGGTAGTGTATACAGTGGCTTGCGAAAGTATTCACCCCCCTTGGCATTTTTCCTATTTTGTTGCCTTACAACCTGGAATTAAAATTGATTTTTGGGGGGTTTGTATCATTTGATTTACACAACATGCCTACCACTTTGAAGATGCAAAATATATTTTCTAGTGAAACAAACAAGAAATAAGACAAAAAAAACACAAAACTTGAGCATGCATAACTATTCACTATTCACTAACCCCTAAAAATGTTTGTTGATTTGTATTTTCTTCTGAACAGAGGCGATCATTCTTGAGAGCTGAGTGCAACAGCAACAAACTGGCAGGTGTCCAGATCCATTTTGTGGCTGAGAAGAGAATCGGTTTCACACAATTTGCCCTGAAATAGAACAAGACAACCACAAAAGAGCACTCTTGCACACTTGGATGATTTCTACACAGTCCAAGGCCTTATGTGATTATTGGAAAAGTTTAAAGTCTGTCTCAGAGAGGCTCTTCTTGGTTTCAGTGGGCTTGGGTGTGATAAGTATGTGTGCTGGGTGAAAGTTTTTTTAAAGGAATTATTTGTGGCTCTCACAACAGGAGCAGCCAACTCTGAAATGAGAAGACTGTGATGTCTGCAGGCTTACTGATCAGGTATAGGACTAAACAACCGGCTTCAGTCAATCTCCTGAACAAGGATGAGAATCTATCTACACTGACTTAATCAGGATCAGGATGAGTTCAAACAGGGTTATAGTGGTGCCTGATGTGAACAAAAGTGCTGAATCTGTAAGACCCATGTTGGCATTGTAATGCTATAGGAGAATGTATCAATCTATATGTGAATAATAGTCATGTCATTCGCTTCTATAAGAGTTAAAGGAGACTCTCAAAACACTAATTTTCTGGGTCTGGGTTCCCATAATAAGATAATAAGATCACTTAATTGCCTTTGGATAGGCAAAACAGATGCAGTTGAATAGATTTCTGGTGAAATCAATAAACATATAATCAATAAACACAACACCAGAACACCTTGGTCTCTCTACTTACAGGTCCTTTGATAATAGAAACCCATCGAAGCTCATATTGATAGTCACCCTCTGAGAGAAGAAGATGATGTGTGTTTGAGTGACCTTGGCTTGTCCCTGGCTTCCTGTCCCAGCGTTGCCGCTGTCCAATCAGTGTCTCTCCGCCTGAATTGCTGCCAGTCCCTGGGATGGAGGAGTAACAGATAGACAGATAGACAGACAGACAGCCCCCTGGCCTCCTCTCTCCTTGTCCTCACCACATTACAATGACATTAAGATGACAGAAATGTCACTGATGTCAGTGTGGCATCAGACCACAGAATAACATGGGGATGTACAGGCATGAGGAGAACAGTACAGAAGACAGTGAGAAAGTGCAGGAGAGGAGAGTTGATTAGGCCCCAGTGGCAGGTGTCATAGCCCCACCTTGTGTTCAACACCAGGAAAGGATTAACACACACTGATGCTCAGGATGCTGAGCCATTTCAATGCCTTTTATTTCAGCCAGGATCTGATCACTGTGTCTGCCATTGGATAGGGCCTTCAAAAAGATTAAACATATAGATTCAACATATAAATGTTGGATAACAACGGATGTGAGCACCATCAACATAAAGTCTTTATAATACACCCATATGCATAGTGCTTAATTGAGCAGCTCTCTCAGGTCAAATCTTGGATATTTGATGACACAATACTTACTTATTCTTCATGCGTGGCTGCGGAATGCATTGAATTTGCTGTAGCTAATGCTATATTGAATATGTTGTAGCTTTAATAACTTTCTATGTCGTTTTTATTTAATTTAGTGATTGTGTTATCAGTGGACCTATAGCCTATAATACATTACCATTCAATATCAAATATTGATACTACTTCCAAATAGACCTAGCCTACATTTGCTCAACAGCTTTAGTAGTGAAATAATATTTACACCCCATCCAATCCACTGACACATTTGCCCAGATGGACCTAATTGAACGTGTTTCTCTCAAGCAGCACAACATCTGTGTCGAATTTGGTGAATCTAATGTCACTCCACTCAACTGTTCAACACACACAAAAACGCACCAGCCATGAACTGAAGTTCCAACCAATCTGAAGACAAGCCTAGTAGGCCCTAACAGTGAACTGCCCCAGGAGACTCAGAGCATTCAGCATTCTTTCTCCATTGGTTTTGGTGTGGAGAAGGGACCTGAGGAACATGGAGGGCGAGGTTCCCGATTGTTCTGGGTTGAAACTTATACACTGCAATTTCCATCACAAAGGCCCTCAGCACAGTGCAGAGCTGACCTTGTGCCCTGTCACGGTGAGACTCAGGAAGTACTTGTGCTGCAGCCTCCTCTATTCACACGCTGGCCCATAGGTCGCTGTCAGGCCCCTCCATGGCCGATGGCTATTGTTATGCTGATCTAATGACTGTGAAGGGTAATCCAAAAGGCCTTCATTAGAATGAGGATCAGAATTCATAAACATTCAATGAGGGAGGAACATGGAGGCATTGCATGGGAGCACTGCAGTGAATTATTTGATTGAATAAGTTTGGTCAAATGGGGAATGAATGCACAGTCCCTCCATCAGTGTGTCATCATGAAGTATCTCACAGTCCATAAAGGAGAAGCTCTGCCCTGCACAGTAAAAGCTCTGCCCTGTATGACAGTGTATGTTGTTTTGGGCTATTTTTGCAGGGGAAGACTTTGCTTGAATTCAAACCTTAAACAATAAACATTTGAATAAACATGGCCTTTTACAGCATATTGGATGACTGTCATTCATATTCCATTCATCCAGCTCAATGTAACATCGATAGGTTTAAGCTACTACATGATACTCAAATTTTCCCTGTACCCATCATGAGGTTGCTACAACCTAGCCTATGAATGAAAGTTTACAACGTAGGTGCACAGGTCGAGATAATTTTTTGTAATCAAGTTGAGAGACAGTGACACAATCAATACCGCCTTGCACACTCTTGCCTCCATCTAGCTGATCTAGGATGTAATCATTAGTCCAACAGTTGCAAACGAGAGTTTTTATTGGACAATTGCAGGTATGTCCCCGTTTCGTTCAGTTTGCTTCCGTTTAAGAAACGTTTTTCAACAGAATCTGCGCAATGAATACACCCCTGATCACACGCAAACACAATTCACGTGCATAGCAGCCACATACAAACCGCTCGTTGTGTATACAATTCCTTCTCGCATCTATCTACGCGCTCTCCTCCTCTCACTTTTCCCTTCGCTTCAGTGCACAATAATATAATATTTTGCAGACGCTTTTATCCAAAGCGACTTACAGTCATGTGTGCATACATTTTTACGTAAGGGTGGTCCCGGGGATCGAACCCACTACTCTGGCGTTACAAGCGCCATGCTCTACCAATTGAGCTACAGAGGACCACAACACATCAGCTACTGTACTGTACAGAGTGCTGCTGAAGCTACTATAGACCTTCATTGCAAAACAGTGTGTTTTAAATGATTTGGTGACGTGAATATATTTAGTATAGTTCTATCTAAAAAGCATAATTTTTATGTTTCACTATTTATTTATTTAGAAATTCACTGAGGAGGATGGTCCTCCCCTTCCTCCTCTGAGGAGCTTCCACTTATATACACATACACTATTCATCCCCATTACACTAAAGTTATGTTGCCCATGGACAGCTATGCGTGAACCAAGTCTGTGTTTCCCAAATGCATCAATTATTTAGTTTCAATAGAATTAAGAAGCTTTTGGGAAAACCCAGCCCAGTGTTATGCCATGATATGTTGAGTTTCCTGATCTACACGCGCATAATCATAGCCTACCTTTCTCATTCGACCTGCAGTGTCCATCATTTTCAGATAGCCGACATCCAACATTGAGTAGTTTGACTAGTTCAACTCTATATTTGCTGTTTTGAATAATACAACTGTTTTGTGGTAATGTATCACATTTGTTGATGTTGGACTATTACAACTTCTCCAAAGCATACAGATTTGTTTTATCTCGGGCGAATGGGACCATCATACGTGCACGAGCGGCGCGCGCAATATGAGAGCGCGCGTGGAGGCGGTCCGGCTTCTTCAGTTTTCTGTAATCGCTTTTCGGTTGCTACCTTCAGTTAAATAGCAAGGACACGAGTGCGAGCAGACGGCCGTGTGTGTGTGGATATACTTTTCACTTGGGATTTTAATACAAAATACAGCATCGACGGTCAGCTGCCAGGTAATATTTACGCACGCATGTTACTGTCCTTCGTATGTGTACAGAAAGTAAGTAAATGTCCCGTGAAAGTGGCATTTTCCGATGAGGGGGATGTGTGGGACGTGCCTCCCTTTGTGCCCGAGCAGCTCAACGCTCATTGTGGACACTTGAGAAACGTTGGATTCACACATTTCCAAGCCGTTCATTTGGCCCTCGCGTCGACTGGCCTTGACGAGCCCTTGATGCCTTGTCGAAGAATTTCTTAAACGTGATGTTCTCTGCATATTTTCCCGAGTTTTAAACGCTCAGGCCTCTTGATTTAAATTCCCCATAGCAGGACATAGCACAGCGGGTGCTACTTTTTCCTGCAGTGTTAAAGATGTTTGTTATGCATTGCTTTTTTGACAGCTCTATTTGTGTCGCGGGCACATGTTGTTATTTTTATTTTTTCAGTCGAAAGGGGGAGGCTTGCAAATTGTGTTGACCTATTGCTCAGCTGGCTCCGAAACAACGACAGAAGAAAGTGATACATTATTGTGTCCTATTTATTGAGGCCCCTAGAGTCAACACGCGAGTCGTCTTTGATAAATGTAACTAACAATTTTCAGAATTGATATCATTGCCCCAAGTTGCCATCGCACGCCTGTTTTGCAAGTCGATACATGTCTGTCGAGTGGATACACTAATAGCGTTGATGTCCTTATCATAACACCCCCGGGAAAGGTAGTGGTTAAGCACTACTTTAGTTTACCGTTTGATTAACCGTTTGTATCTTTTACCGTAGGCCTATTCCCCAGGCTTTTATTCGAAACAATATAAACTGATACGTTTGGCTTGACGTCCATGACCGTGATAGATAAAAAATTACCTCACCTCATTATTGTCATCAAAGGCGATATCTCAGTCGTCTGATGCCCTTTGTAGAGGCACAGGCCTACTGTTCTAGTGTCTCTTTAGCCTACTAAACTCAACTCCCTGATTAGTTGAGTTTAATCGACTAGTGTCTCTTTCGATCTATGTTCCATCAATCCATGTGGTCAACTACTGAAAAGGTTAATGAGTGGTGATATTGAATTAATTGTTTTAGATTAGACTGTATTGTCAGTAGGCCTGTGACATGTTGACTCTTCAAGTCAAGACATCTTGACAGCATTGTTCTTTCATACTAGGCTATATTCCATTAAATCTCAACAAAGTCATGTTTCTAATGCATTCAAAAAATTTGTAGGTGGTTTGTTAACGCAGTAATATTGAATCTTCTTGAAAGAGTTTGAGATCTTAGTAGTTTGTCAAAATATTGACGAACCGCTCACTACCTCTTCCTTTTCAACACACAAAATAGCTTCACCACCTTGCCTTCAACACATTAACCAGCAAAGTGAAACAGACTTTAAATTATTTCCCTGTTGTGAAAATAATTTCCTCCTGCAAGGACAATCAAGTATTCTGTTCTACTCAACCACACAATGGAGGCAGGTAGCCGCTGTTGTGTGGTTAGAGAGAAGAGCCAGCAACTGGAGGGTTGCCAGTTTGTATCCGGGGTCTGACAGGAAAAATCTGGCGGGAAGTGAGCTGGCAACCGGAGTGTTGCTGGGATCAAATCCTAGATGCCATTGCCTGCCGTTGTGCCCTTGAGCAAGGCACTTAACCCCCAACAACAACAGCTCCCCGGGCGCCCGGTGTGGCAGCCCCCCGCACCTCTCCCCCAAAAAACCTGTATGTGTGTCTTTCAGAGGGGTTAGGTTAAAAGCGGAAGTCACATTTTGGTTGGACCTTGTCTGCAATTGACCAATACAGTGATCTTAATCTTAACCTGCACAATGACTAGTAAAATCATAGGCTGTGCAACCTTGGAACCCTCGCAGTCCACACAAGGTACTTTTTTTTAAAAGGCCTGGGCAGGCTAACGTACCACTAATTTATTTTGTATAGAAAACATAATGAAAGCTAAAGCTGTGCTGTTTGGTCTCTGTTTCCCAGGGCCAGGATGTCCAGTGAAGTGCAGAGACCGGACGATAGCCCCAGCACCAGTGGGGGGAGCTCGGATATCGAACAAAGAGAATCATCGGTACCCCCAGAACAGGAGCGGGAACAAGCACAGCCCAAAAAGAAGGAGACTAAGATCTCCAGTAAAACAGCTGCCAAACTCTCAACCAGTGCCAAGAGGTAAACCTTGAATCTGGCTCAGTTTAGTGGTATTTAAGTGGGGCAGGTTTGAGCACCTCCCTATCCTCAGGGCGGTGAGTTACACTGAGTGTTCAAAACATTAGGAACACCTTCCTAATATTGAGTTGCACCCCCTTTTGCCCTCAGAACAGCCTCAATTCGGCAGGGCATGGACTGTACAAGATGTTGAAAGCATTCTACAGGGATGCTGGCCCCATGTTGACTCCAGTGCTTCCCACAGTTGTCAAGTTGGCTGGATGTCCTTTCGGTGGTGGACCATTCTTCATACACCCGGGAAACTGTTGCGTGTGAAAAACCCAGCAGCGTTGCAGTTATTGAAACACTCAAACTGGTGGTGTCTGGCACCTACTACCATACCTCGTTCGAAGGCACTTAAAATATTTGTCTTGCCCATTCACCATCTGAATGGCACACATTCTCGATTGTCTGAAGGCTTAAAAATATTTATTTAACCTGTCTCCTCCCCTTCATCTACACTGATTTGAAGTGGATTTAACAAGTGACATCAATAATGGATCATAGCTTTCACCTGGATTTACCTGGTCAGTCGATGTCATGGAAAGTGCTTGTGTTCCTAATGTTTTGTACACTCATTTTATATAACGCTAACCGGTCCTATGGGCATCATTATTCTAATCACACTCATGCTATTAATATATCCATTAGATTTAGTCCATACAAGATGTGTAATGAAAGGTACCCTTGTTGCATCTATCGCATCATGACACTGTAATGCCCGTCATTCATCTGACAGGCAGATTACTATGATGATTATGCCCCTGTGTCTTTCCTGGCCGTGTGATGATAAGAGCTTACCAGGAAACACTAGGCCCGTTCTGGTTATCCTTGGTTATAGCATTTTCATAGAGCTTTCCTTAGCTAGGTCAGGTGGCCTGAGCCCTAACAATGATGACCATACTTTCATTCATAACACATATATGTGTGGTTAGTGTTGTGTCATGAACAGCACTCCCTCTGTCGCCCACCTAGCCTTGCCAGTGGAAACACAGATTGATAGGAGGTGATGATAGAATTATGCAACCAACCGAGCCAGGGATTGCCTGGGGCTACAGCGCTTTTTTAACTACCCCTGATATTTGGAACATCTTCCTGATGTGTAGCACACTTATAAGACACTCCACTGTGCTCAAACCCAGGGTTTTAGTATTATGACCACAGTGCAGTTATGTCAGTGATGGTATAATGTGTGACTGATGGGTTAAATTGCACTGTTGTGCGTTTAGTTAATCGTCACATGTCATTGTGATTTGTCATCCCTGTTATACAAAAATGTTTATATTCTGTTATTAACCCTTCCCTCGCAGGTGACTGCTGCGTGGTTGAATTTGAAAGAGTAATTGAAAGATGTTGACATTTGTACAGGCCTATTGTAATGACACAGACTCTGATAAATCATTTCAGATTTGAACCTTTCAGGATCTGCAATTCTTTTAAACAGAGGTTGTCTCATCATGTTTGTAATGTGCCTAATGCTGCTTCATGCTTCCTCATAGAAAAGTAAGTGTAACAACACAGTATGGCACTGTGTGACACCATTAGGCTTGGGTGATATTTGGGGAGACCTCTTCTACGATATGCTACTCTAAATATTGCCATATCCGATATAATCGTGTTGCGCCATTAATGACTAAATCATTCCAGTCGGTGCAATTTTTGTGCTTATTTACCATATTATAGTCACATTGTCATTATTTAATCTTTGAGTGGCCTTTCTTTTGTTGGTTTAGTTAATTTATTTAGACTTCATTTTAAACACATTGATACAGCCTAACTGATAAAACTGCAAAGTTTTTTAGTCTTGCACATCACAATATCGTCTTGCACATCACAATATATCGTCAATGTCAAATATCACAATATTTGATTTAATCATATACAGTGGCTTGCGAAAGTATTCACCCTCCTTGGCATTTTTCCTATTCCCATTTGATTTACACAACATGCCTACCACTTTGAAGATGCAAAATATTTTTTGTTGTGAAACGAACAAGAAATAACACCAAAAAAACAGAACTTGAGCATGCATAACTATTCACACCCCCCCAAATGTCAATACTTTGTAGAGCCACCTTTTGCAGCAATTACAGCTGCAAGTCTCTTGGGGTACAGTGGGGAAAAAAAGTATTTAGTCAGCCACCAATTGTGCAAGTTCTCCCACTTAAAAAGATGAGAGATGCCTGTAATTTTCATCATAGGTACACGTCAACTATGACAGACAAATTGAGGGAAAAAAATCCAGAAAATCACATCGTAGGATTTTTAATGAATTTATTTGCAAATTATGGTGGAAAATAAGTTTTTGGTCACCTACAAACAAGCAAGATTTCTGGCTCTCACAGACCTGTAACTTCTTCTTTAAGAGGCTCCTCTGTCCTCCACTCGTTACCTGTATTAATGGCACCTGTTTGAACTTGTTATCAGTATAAAAGACACCTGTCCACAACCTCAAACAGTCACACTCCAAACTCCACTATGGCCAAGACCAAAGAGCTGTCAAAGGACACCAGAAACAAAATTGTAGACCTGCACCAGGCTGGGAAGACTGAATCTGCAATAGGTAAGCAGCTTGGTTTGAAGAAATCAACTGTGGGAGCAATTATTAGGAAATGGAAGACATACAAGACCACTGATAATCTCCCTCGATCTGGGGCTCCACGCAAGATCTCACCCCTTGGGGTCAAAATGATCACAAGAACGGTGAGCAAAAATCCCAGAACCACACGGGGGGACCTAGTGAATGACCAGCAGAGAGCTGGGACCAAAGTAACAAAGCCTACCATCAGTAACACACTACGCCGCCAGGGACTCAAATCCTGCAGTGCAAGACGTGTCCCCCTGCTTAAGCCAGTACATGTCCAGGCCCGTCTGAAGTGCATTTGGATGATCCAGAAGAGGATTGGGAGAATGTCATATGGTCAGATGAAACCAAAATATAACTTTTTGGTAAAAACTCAACTTGTCATGTTTGGAGGACAAAGAATACTGAGTTGCATCCAAAGAACACCATACCTACTGTGAAGCATGGGGGTGGAAACATCATGCTTTGGGGCTGTTTTTCTGCAAAGGGACCAGGACGACTGATCCGTGTAAAGGAAAGAATGAATGGGGCCATGTATCGTGAGATTTTGAGTGAAAACCTCCTTCCATCAGCAAGGGCATTGAAGATGAAATGTGGCTGAGTCTTTCAGCATGACAATGATCCCAAACACACCGCCCGGGCAACGAAGGAGTGGCTTCGTAAGAAGCATTTCAAGGTCCTGGAGTGGCCTAGCCAGTCTCCAGATCTCAACCCCATAGAAAATCTTTGGAGGGAGTTGAAAGTCTGTGTTGCCCAGCGACAGCCTCAAAACATCACTGCTCTAGAGGAGATCTGCATGGAGGAATGGGCCAAAATACCAGAAACAGTGTGTGAAAACCTTGTGAAGACTTACAGAAAACGTTTGACCTGTGTCATTGCCAACAAAGGGTATATAACAAAGTATTGAGAAACTTTTGTTATTGACCAAATACTTATTTTCCACCATCATTTGCAAATAAATTCATTAAAAATCCTACAATGTGATTTTCTGGATTATTTTTTTCTCATTTTGCCTGTCATAGTTGACGTGTACCTATGATGAAAATTACAGGCCTCTCTCATCTTTTTAAGTGGGAGAACTTGCACAATTGGTGGCTGACTAAATACTTTTTTTCCCCACTGTATGTCTCTATAAGCTTGCCACATCTAGTCACTGGAATTTTGCCCATTTTTCAAGGCAAAACTGCTCCAGTTCCTTCAAGTTGGATGGGTTCCGCTGGTTTACAGCAATCTTTAAGTCATACCACAGATTCTCAATTGGATTGAGGTCTGGGCTTTGACTATTATATTCCAAGACATTTAAACCACTTGAGTGTTGCTTTAGCAGTATGCTTAGGGTCATTGTCCTGCTGGAAGGTGAACCTCCGTCTCTGGAAGACTGAAACAGGTTTCCCTCAAGAATGTCCCTGTATTTAGCGCCATCCTTCAATTCTGACCAGTTTCCCAGTCCCTGCCGATGGAAAAACATCCCCACAGCATGATGCTGCCACCACCATGGTGTTCTCGGTGTGATGAGAGGTGTTGGGTTTGTGCCAGACATAGCGTTTTCCTTGATGGCCAAAAAGCTCAATTTTAGTCTCATCTGACCAGAGTACCTTCCATATGTTTGGGTAGTCTACCACATGCCTTTTGGCGAACACCAAACGTGTTTGCTTATTTTTTCTTCTTTAAGTAATGGCTTTTTTCTGGCCACTCTCCCGTAAAGCCCAGCTCTGTGGAGTGTACGGCTTAAAGTGGTCCTATGGACAGATACTCCAATCAACGCTGTGGAGCTTTGCAGCTCCTTCAGGGTTATCTTTGGTCTCTTTGTTGCCTCTCTGATTAATGCCCTCCTTGCCTGGTCTGTGAGTTTTGGTGGGCGGCCCTCTCTTGGCAGGTTTGTTGTGGTACATGATCTGTACTTCTCCCCAACTTTGTCCCTGACCTGTTTGGAGAGCTCCTTGGTCTTCATGGTGCCCCTTGCTTAGTGGTGCCCCTTGCTTAGTGGTGCCCCTTGCTTAGTGGTGCCCCTTGCTTAGTGGTGTTGCAGACTCTGGGGCCTTTCAGAACAGGTGTGTGTATATATATACTGAGATCATGTGACATATCATGTGACACTTAGATTGCACACAGGTGGACTTTATTCAACTAATTATGTGACTTCTGAAGGTAATTGGTTGCACCAGATCTTATTTAGGGGCTTCATAGCAAAGGAGGTGAATACATATGCAAGCACCACTTTTCCGTTATTTATTTTGTATTATTTTTTTGAATTGTTTGAAACAAGTTCTTTTTTTCATTTCCCTTCACCAATTTGGAATATTTTGTCCATTACAGGTTGTAATGCAACAAAATCGGAAAAACGCCAAGGGGATGAATACTTTTGCAAGGCACTGTATCGGCCC